CTCTCTATATATATAACCATTCTAAACACAAACCATAAAACATCATAACATTCTCTCAAGAAGAACTTTCTAAAAAACAAATAAAAAGTATTTGCATTCTCTCTATCTATTAAAATGTTGCTTCCTATGTTTGTGACTCTTTTGGTCACAATGACTTTGCAGCCACAGCCTTCGGTGGTGGCTTTGGACGTCCATCTCCTCCGACAGCTAGCCGCAAAACACAATGTGACAACCATTATTGTATTTGGGGATTCTAGTGTCGATTCGGGAAACAACAATTTCCTTAATACCGATATGAAAGGAAATTTTCCACCTTATGGTGGGAGTTTCATAAACCATAGGTCCACCGGAAGGTTATGCGATGGATTGCTCGCACCCGATTTCATCGGTAAGCTTTACATTGCAGTACTTGTATTAGTCTTTTTTTGTGCATTATAGTAGTTGTATTAGTCTTAAAATCTATATGTTGATGAAATATTTTTAGTTATGAATTATGTTCACATTATGTTTTGAAGACTTTATCTAACTATGAAATATGTATGTTCACATCAAACTTATATATTTTTCAGCGGAGGCCATGGGACACCCGCCTGTACCGGCTTTTCTTGATCCAACCCTAACCCAAACCGACCTACCTCACGGTGCAAGTTTTGCCTCGGCTGGTTCTGGTTATGACGATCTCACAGCTAACATATCCGTAAGCCTAAATCATAAATTTGAAATTTTCATTAAAAATCGAACTGAAAAATAATTTGTCTTGTTGACTGAAACAGAACGTGTGGAGTTTCTCGACGCAAGTCAACTACTTTCTGCATTACAAGATTCACCTCAATAAATTGGTTGGTCCATTAGAGGGCTCAAAAATGATAAACAATGCGATATTTCTTCTAAGTATGGGTTCAAATGACTTTCTTCAAAATTACTTAATCGATTTAACTCGACAAAAGCAATTCACAGTTGAACAATACATCGACTTTCTCTCCTCCCGTATGCTTAACGACGCCAAGGTATGTATACTTTATTTCTTGGTTCGTGTATCATTTATAATACATGTTTCTTTTAGTGAAAAAACCAGTTTTATCTTCACTATTGCTTGAACTAATTGACTATATAAGAAAGAAAGAACGTGTCTGTGTGTGTGATATTAATACTCCTGAAATAAATGCGTATATATTTTATTGGAATTGAATAATTTGACAAATACCATGTGTATAGTATATGTATGTGGGTCCTGATAATTAACTACGAGCAAAAGAAGTCATAAATTACAACGAAAAATAGAGGAAGAAAAGACAGTACAAAGAAAAAAAAATACGAATCCTATCTAGTTGTTGACAGAATTTAATTCAATCAATAATTTCTTCCCTACAATGACATGAATTTTCGATTTTTCATGTCCGGTTTTTGGAATATGTATACGGACAAACCGTATCCACATGTATATGAAATTGTTGATTTTTTATTTTTTGGGTAGCTTTAGTATTTGCTTTCTTGAACCACTAAGCTGCATAAACATTGATTCCCATTTATTGGGAAACATAAATATATAGCCGCTAGACTTGTCCAATATTTTTGTTTCACATGTCAGTAAAATATTTCATTGACAAAACGATCTATGC